TTTGAATGTGGAAAAAAGGGGAAAAATTCAAGGGGTATGAATGCCGTTGCATTTTTTTTTTTTTTTTTTAACAAGTGGATCATAAAAAATTAGAGAAACTAAAACTGAGCAGCTGTTCTTGTTTGCCTCTTGGTCAGCTGTATATGTAGAGTAGAGAGAGTTAACTCTTATATAGCAAAGTCAAAATCCATTAAAAATTGCTTAATAAAAGTTAAATGACACTGCCAGCGTTAAATTAAAGGCCCTAGTGGAGACAATTTCAGGTTTTAAGTTTAGATTTAAACATAGTGTGGACACCAAGATATTTGCGTGTAGTAAAATGCAGCATCCTTATGGTTACTGTTTTGAAAGTAGTTGCAAGCTTCTAATGAGTGGAAGTGTAGATATTTATAAACCACTGGAAATTTTCTGTGCAGAAAATCTGGTATAATGTTTCTTTATCTCACAGCCAAATAAGTGACATTTTGGCATAAATCCTGGAGTTTTTAAAGGATTTCTTAGCATTGTGTGTTGTGTATTTTCACTAATTTCTCATTTTCTCTGATGCACACAGATTAATAAACGAAAGAGATTTGGCACATGTCCCATGACTGTCAATCACTTTGAGGGTTTAGATCCAGCTTCGAATTAAAGACATTTGCTAGTATAAAACAGAGAAAACGTGAGGAGTGTGTTTTGGCAGCGGTGTGTGTGTGTGTGTGTTCTCCGAGTGCTTTCTAGTAATAAACATGACAATATCGCTTTTTCAGGGGCAGCCAATAAAGAATAGGAATTTCCTTGTCAAAATACAGTCAAGGTAAAATTACAGTGACTTCAAAGTAGCACACATAGTGGCTCTTTCTAATGAGCAGAATAGGTAGCCAAGTTGTAGGCAGCTTTAAGCATTAACATGCAGAGCTGATATTTCAAACAAATTGTCCCCTTCTCGAGTCTTTGCTCCTAATCAGCCTGATTTGCTGTGGCACTGAAGTCCTCTCCCCCATCGAGCAGGGCAGATGGTGACATCCAAGAAAAAAAGCTTCAGATACACTCAGCCAGAAATCTGCAGGTGTGTGCATGTGTATGTTCACCCTGACTACACACATTGGCATTTACTCAATGACTGATGACCTATAGTCATTAATAACATTTCTAAAATTCTTTCTTAGAGCCCATAAATGCAGAGTACAGGGTACACCCTATCTGCTACCGTTTTTGTTTGCCTTGTTTTCAATGCTACAACCCTTGTGGAATTAGTATTAAAGGGTGGTTTCACCCAAGTGGTATCAGTTCACGCAGATAGATCTGATTTTATTTGCCCAGATTTTGAGACAGATTTTGCTCTTACACTTTAAATTAGGGGTGCACCGAAATTTCGGCCACCGAAAATTTTCGGCCGGAATGGCCATTTTTATTTCGGGCCGGAATAAAAAAAACACGCCGAAAATGCCCCGCCCCGCCCCGCCCCGCCCCACCTATCCTCGCGCAGCACAGGTTGGGTTTCACTCACGCTTTAGCTGTTATATCATGCGTCTCCCCATCAAAGACAA